TATTATTATTATTATTATCTGCAGGTGTCGTATAGTGGAACAAATTGCTTTATATATGCTAAACGTATTTGTTTTTCTCTGTATGCAAAACCTTAGATGCTGAAAAAATAACCACGCAAGCATAACACAAAAAAATATTACGTTTTAATTGTCACTTGCTCGAATGAAGTAATGCGTCATTGCAAAGCATTTATTAACGAAATGTTTCGCCGCTGTTATCCCTTGCTTATCGCTGTTCCCATGTGCCAGGCTCAGATGATGACAGATTACATTGAGATATACTGGAATTATTCGTCGTAGCCGTGAAAATGAAAACCATTTTCCAGGCCATTTCATTACGTCATTCGAAAGGTCACATCTTAAGTAATCATACCAATCACCAGTATGACGGTATATTGCTAATATGGTGGACTTTTTTTCCCCTCTTCATGTAAAAAAGACGTCTTTCACAAATCTGAAAAACGTCAGAACTGTTATAAAACCCGTTCTATGGCAGCAACAATGCAAACCGCGTTATGAAATAAGGGGATTTTTTTAAATGTAAAACGATATATGATGCTCTGAAGAGAAGTCAGACGTGACGTAGCGGCCTTCCAGAGCCTCGTGAAGTCTGGGTGGCTCGAGAGCACCGGAAGCGTCCTGTCCCCACATTGTGGACTAGCTGAAGCCCCGCCCACCGCTGGGAGAAAAGACAGGGCAGCGTTGTCAGATGTCTCATAGACGCCGGTTTGTTAAAATGGACAGGGAAGTGTTTCGTGTTTATTTACAGGTAGAGGCCGGTGAGGGGGCGCGTAGCCTAATCCCATACCTCTCGAGAGTGATCGGTCCAAATCCTCAAGAAGACCCTTCTCGAAACAGTCCACGGGACCCCCAGTAACAGCCGCAAGCCCAGTTCCCGCACCCAGAGATCCGCTTTCATAGAGCTGGCCCGACTGTTGAAGCCCACCCTTGCGATCAGGTTGCTCCTGTCCCGGTGAGACACTTTGAAAGGTGAAATGTGAAACGGTCTGACGCAGAGGAGCGAAGTGTCTTCCGCTCCAAGCCTGGGTCAGGGTTCCCGAGCTGTTGGTGGCGTCTGGGAGGAAGAGAGCGTTTAATCTGGAGGACAATTCCTCAATGCCATTACTCTGAAACAGCTCCTGATTACACGTCTCCCTGACGCGCTGTGTAGTGGGGCCTCTCCTTTGTGCAAAGCGCTTTGGGATCTTCTGTGATGAAAAGAGGTCGCCCGATACCAGAAATCGATACACCTGGCGGAAGCGGAAAGGATTTGGGATATCTGGGATTGTAAAGCGCGGAGTTAGAAGCCTAGCCGCCAACTCACAGTCTCAAATCCCTGCGCCCTCACCTTCCCACCCGGCATACAGCCCATAGTTTCACAATGAGACATCCGCTCACATCCTGGTTCGAGCAAAATTATCCAGTGCTGAACCGGTAAAAACACAACGTTGTGGTAAAAATAGTTTTAAAAAACTCAATTATTACGGATTAAAATAACACATTATTAATTTTAGATAGATTTATTTGACCACAAGTTGCTTTCTCCACCAATTAGCATATAGACAGATAGACGTACAAGGACAGAGGGAGACGGGTAGAGAAGAGTATCTCGGATATAAAGAGTCTGTCGCTACAGTTCACTGACTTCACCCTTTCCTGGGTCTCTCAGCACAAGACTGGCGCCGAGAGAGCGAGGTGAAATCGAGACTCGGAGATGGTATTTTCCAGCACACAGAAAGTTATGAACACAAACGGCCCGGGCTCAAACAGACATGCCCCGAGGTAGCGTGGATTTAGTTAAGAGAGAATCAGGAAAAAAGAGCCGGTTTGGACGACCTGCCCGTGTTCCTGCTCGTCGTGTTGTGACGTTGGTAGGACTTTTTTGAGGTATCAATTCTGCTCTTCTTTTTTTTCACCTGGTTCGATCATCACTCCTAGGTATTGACGTATTGTAAAACACTAGAGTTAATGTGCCGAACGGTGTGATGGCATTTTTCCAGGTATTGGAAGTTTAGATGGCGGGGGAAACTCACAAAACGAGCGATGGGATTTTGAGGCGAAAAATCAGAAGAGGCTTCTCGACCCATCTAGCCCGTTCGTTAAAACAGACGTCACCAAGGGGGCACCGGATTCGAACCAGGACCTCTTGAGCTGCAGTCAAATGCTCTACTACTGAACTATACCCCTTCTCCGACGGGCGAATCCTCCTGTCGGTCTTACCAGGTCGCGTACTCGACCTCCCCTCCCAGTTGAAACACGACGCTTTGAAATCGAAATGTATTTTTTGGCTGTGTTTACGCATGAAGTGAGTTATTTAGAGCCAGGTAGGAATGGCGAACGGCCTCAAACCAGTATTAACCGCTTACAATTAAAAGGTGGCTGCAGTACCTGCGCCGTATTTAATTTGAATGGAAAATACACGAGACGTCTGTTTCACACAGTACGGCGAATCAACGGCACCATAAAAATGGAGTTGATCAGAGATCGGTTTTGTTCGCTGCGCAAAGTAACGCCCCCTAGCGAAACGGACCCCACGCAGACGGGCTCGGACCGCACGAGCTGGCTCTCGCGCGTGGTGTTGTGCCACGCGGCGAGGGCGAGGACACGCGCGGGCGCTTCGACATCCCGGTGGTGAAGGAAACCAGCGGTATAATTCGGGTGACCTTTTGCCTTCTGTGTACCCGAGCACGACGAGATTCAACAGTCAATAAGGCCTTTAGCATCAAAGCCAATGCTAGAATTTCACACCTGCGTCCTCCTCGCCCCTCCTCCTCCTGGTGGTACGGAGTTATTCGCCAGGGTGCGACACGTGATGCTCCCTTTCAATGCCCAGTTGAGTCGTATTCAATTCAACTAAACTGGAATATGCGCACACTCGTTCCAGGAGAATTAGTGATATCGGCGAGGAATGTGTGCGTGTCTGTGCCTTCGTTTATTACGATATGGATGACAAGAAGCCCGTTTTTTGCGCGTTTATATTGGTTTCACGGTACATCTGAAGCGTTTGCAAAGGAACGAATTTTTACTGCCAGCATGCGAGTGAAAGCTGGTGTTAGTCTTAAACAACACACAGGTGTCGAAGAGACTCTATGTTTTACAATTAAACCACTTGATATGTAGATGAGAGAAAAATCTTACGTCCCCAAGAGGCAAGGGAGGGGGGGGGGGATAATTTGAGCGGAGCATGCGCACTTCGAAGAGAGCTACAGATTAAGGGGACACAGAGCAGGAACCTGATTGGTTCCGTGTTCAGCCAATCAGAGCTTCTCGGGCGGACAAGCCGAGGTCTAATCAGAATCCGGAATCTTGTACCTGTCTCAGAGGGACCGACAGGTTAGACGTTTTCCGGTAGTCTTCAGACGAAATACTTTTGGTTATTTTCAATACAGGAGTATTAAAAGAGTATATTTCGTTTTAAAAAAAAAACGGAGGGAGGTTAAGTAGAAAAAAAATTCCCGCATGAAGGCCAGCGGCGAGGTAGGTGAGCTTCACAGCCCTGTGGAGAGTTGTAAATATATTTCACACGGTGAAGTGCAATTACTAACACATGTTGTAAAACCGTGCTGGGATGTCCAGCACTGATTTGAAACCTGGGTGGCAGTGGCTTGTCGTCAACCTGGGCTGAACTTGAAACGCATTGTCGAATTTAAGAGCACTCTAAAAATCATCAGCGATTTCCAAACACGGCGTCTCTCCCTTTCAAGCCCTTTAGTTTTGGCACGAATATGACCGTGTAGGAAACATCTTATAAACAGGAATTCATTTTCTGAAATTCCAATGTAAACCTCAACTGATGTTAGGATTTTACTCAAGAAACTAAAAAGAGTGCCATATTTCAATGCTTTCAGTTGCATTTGGACAGTGAGTATTGGCTTAGGCCTGGCCATAAGTGGCTTTGCAGAAGCTGGGACTGAAGTTTCCCCCCACACAC